TAATGAAGGAGCAAGTGCCCTTTGCGTATTGAGTAATATAAGGCGCACGCCCTCACAACTAACGAACAAAGTCGAGAGCAAACCGAGAATGCGTCGCACGTGCGTCACCCCCACGCATGGTGAATAAAAGGCGTGCTCGCGACGCGCGCTCGTGTCTTTACAATGAACGTCGACTCTGTAACGTGTACAACAATTTTCAAAAATTTCAAATTTTTGCTCAATTTAAATAGTTTCTAATATGCCTCCAAAAGGCAAGAGAAAGAAGCTTACATAGTAGAAAAAAGGGGGGAGGAAGAAGAAAGAAGATGAGACCAGGAAGCAAAACTGAAGTACGCCGTCAGTACGTCACCACAAACGTGTGAGGCAAGTGTAAAGCAAAACTGACGCAAAAGGGCACTACTTTCGCCGTGCGTTACATTCCCTCCGTAATTTGTGAGTGTGTGCCACGTACACAGGAAGCAAGACAAACTCAAGAAATGAGTACAATTTCCACGACCATCCCCCCTTGCAGTTAGCGTCCCTGCCCGAAAGGACATCTCATGTGGCCCTTGCGCCTCGCAAGGCAGACTTTCCTCTACCTCTGCAACCTCCACGGCCTCCGCAACACCCAAAAATCGGTTGTGACCGAGGCTTAACACATTCGTCTTCTTCTACTTCTCAAATTATTAATTCAAACAATAACAACACGCAGGGTGAGCATACTTACGCACACATTCGAGCTGGGAAGGTTTGAACTTGATCGTCTATCGTCGCTGGCTCCATGAGAACAGGAAAACTACCATAATAAAACGTCCTTCTGTCGGTGGGGGTTGTGTAGAATAGAACCCTGGATATACGAGACATTCATATTAACATTGCTCTTTAACATAGTCGCGCCTGTCATAACATAAGCATATATTCGAGACTGACAGTTAAAAAAATTCCCCAAAATTTTTTAAAATACATAACAAAAAAGCAGCTTGTTGCGATCTTTCAATATACATAGCAAGTGATTCTGTAGATTAGACGGGTGTAAAATTAGTATTCGGTTGTGGGAATCAAACACCTTTATAGCTGACAATTTTCTCTTAGACTTCGGGTCAGATTGAGAATATTCCTCCATGTCAGATTATCTGGTCTTACCCTGGGCATGCCCGGTTCCTGTCAGTGTCCATTCCAAAACTTAAAGCGGTGGTTTTAGCCGTCGCCGAGGCTGCTGAAATCCCTTTCTTTGGAAACCTAAATTTGACATTTTAATATGAGGAGCGCCTCGTCCAATATGTGAGGCAACACTCACAAGGCGATTTAAAGCTCGCGTGAAACGATTGTTGTTCCGAATATCATTGGCCAATCACAATCTGATTGTGTGAACAGTATGTAGTAAACTAAATCAGTGATAAAATATTACAATCAAAATTCCTATATGGTCTTCAAAATGTAGATTGATTTTAGCCTAAATTGACGAAGCAGTATTGTTATCTTACCATCTGAAATAAATTTTTTGTGGCTACATGTAGCAATATGGAAGAAAATATGTAATTAAATTGTAGCATTTATATAAAAAATGTAAATAAAGAAAAATACAAAAACAATAGTAGAAAAAAGTTACCTTTCTGGGGATATAAACTGTCCATTTTTTACAAGAAACGCTACCTCCTTTTGTTTTCTATCCCTAATAATCATAAATGTCCCTTTGCTAAAGGAAGACTCATCACAAATACCATAAGATGTTTGAAAAAAGTTCGGAGTCCGAACGCTCAGTGGTGTAGTGGTTTTACAACCCGAGGAGGGCACCGGTTGTGGCAAGATTTCCGGATATGGGCGCGTGACGAGAGACGATGTGACCTGAACCTCTTGAATCGGTGGCGGCTTAAACGTGGGCTCTCCCGGAGATGGTGGTGTTGTCCCAGCTGACGATGGTGTGGGAAGATTACAGAAGCAGTACCAATAACACTGGCACGCTTGACCATTTTGAGGACACGTTACTGGCGAGCAACAGACGAAATCGGCAGGACCCAAATGTTCAAGCCCTGAGAAAACCTGGAATGGGATTTCGTACTTCATGCCGCACCACGTGGTGTGATAGGGCGGTGTCTGTGTCACCGCAGCGGATTGGCTGGGTTGCTGCACAGGGAACGGGACCGGTCGTGAGAGTTCTGCTGGTAGTTGTTCCACCGGAGCCGCACTTATCCTAATGTTCCCTGTGCCATGACTCACGTTACCCGCCGCCGACGATACAAACGGTGCGGCATTCTGAGGAGCAGCGTTTTGCGCTGTATTAAGAGGTGAAGAACTGCCCTGTGCATTGATGGTGTTTGATTGGACGTTGCTAGTTGAAGGAAAGCCTGGTGCGTTACCAGGCAACGGTTTCCTGCTGGCAGGTTTTTGTAGCGGCAACGCGACAGGCGTCGATATATCGCAATTAGAAAGTAGCAGAAGCATTGAAGTATATGCGCTTATAATCGTTACTTTACTCATTGCGCAGTTCCTGGGTACCGTGTGAGTAGACTACATCTGGACCCACTCCCAAAGATTTGTTACCTTTCCGTTTCCGCCTTAATGGCAATTCCCCTTACACAATTGCTCGTAAGATAGAGCAAAGGACTTTTTCAATTTTCGTGGCACAAATAGATTTTGATGAGCTGTTAACTGCATTTGTTACCACGTGGTCCGCACTCCGCACAACCAGGCTAATGCCATATTCACTCTTCGGGTGTCTGCAGTTTTTTCTCTACCATCGTTTGACTGAAATAAAACCCCGGCAATCTTCAATACAACCGATTGTTTTTCTCTTTCTTGTCGAAGATGAATTTGTTAATAAATAAATGAATAAAAGTATTTATTTATTTATTGTTGTTCAATTATTTATTCATTTTCATTTATGATGAAATATAACAAAATCCTGTCACGAGTATTCAGATTCAAAAATGCAAAGTTTTTTTATTATTAATAGTATGTTGGAAATGTCGACGTTTAATTGGTAAAAGTGAACCAAAGAGTGAGTAAAGGTGGTTTTAATTTGCGCGATAGCATTGTGTATAAAATTTGATTCTTGTTGCTTTTTACCCCGTTGATGTCCTCCTGTGCAAAGCCATTCTGACACAACATGGAATGCAATTTTCTTTAAGGTTCGGCAGGTAAGTCAAGAAAGACAAGTTATGTGTAATTTGTTTCGTCTAATAGGCAGTTAGCCCTAAAACAGTTTACTAGTTGTTGAGTCACCTTACGTATTCAGTTTTCAAAGTAGCACGTCTTTTTTCACATTCATTTAATTAAAATAAAGCTCCACTTAAAAGAAATAAAGAAGGCATGGCGTAAAATACTGCATCAACGAATTATTTGCACTTCTTTAGTGGTCTTCTCCAAACGTGTCCTTATATTTCTCATATTCAATTTATAGATCTGTTTTTAAAAACTTAAGTGTCCAAACGGAATGGCAACCCTCTGTGACCAATATGTGGGCTTAGTGGTCTTATAAACAACAAATCGATTTTTTTAATCTTTGATTTTAATGTTCACTGCGTTCTCCAGATGCTATTAAATCAATCAAACGAAAAGTTCAGTACACAGAACTTATTGAAATACATCGTGTTGAAACGCGCCAAACACTTTCTAGTGCAACCAAATGCCAAGGTCCTCAGGGGGATGAACAGGGCACACAGAGCTATTAATTATCTTATTGGTCAGCTAGATTATTCCCCTTACAAATATTGCTCTAACAATCCAGATGAAAATCGATCACTAATAGAAAAAATATTCCCTTTGTTTTATCAAAATTGTGCAGTTGATTACCAAACTACCACACAAGAATGCTACGCAGTTTGTCTCCTTTCCGTGGAAAAATTATGGAGGCATTGCATGGATCTCAACTAGTCCTTATAGCTAGCCTAAAAAGTTCACATATGACGCACAAGCTGATTAAACGGAGAAAATAGATCCATGAAGCGTGGTCTCTTGTTGAGAAGCTTAAAAATAACCTGTAACAAGTCCTTGTGGTTGAGGATACAGCTAAGATTTGATTTCTCGTCGTACACGTATCTACAAGAATATACCCCTTTTTAGTTATTATATGTCAGTGTACATGGCAATATAATATTAGAGGCATTGGGCGATGAACTGCAGTTTATTGACTCCGTCTGTAGTTACTAATTTTAAATTATACAGAGAAAATTGGGCATGGATTCAAAATTATATAAAAAAGAAGCATTTAAAGAATTGGATCTACGTTGTTTTCCGGTTAATGTGAGGTTCCTACATCCGACATTAAGCTGCACGAGGCTGCCAGCTTTGGTCAGATTTGAAAGTGATTCACACGCGTCGGTTTCCCACAGCCCTTGATGCTTAAAAATAGCTGACCTCGCTGTGTCATTCTAAAAATTAACAGCTAGATTGCAACTCGTAGCTACTCTAAGTTAGGGGAGATCTTGTTTAAAAAAAGGTTTCATGAGTCCCAGGAGCGAAAGTGACAGTTTTCGTTCAAGAATAAATAAGGTTATTTCATTCACTGCTGGTAGTATATATATGTATGGTGACCAGTATCAACTTCAGTTCGTTCAACGTTTTCAATGACGGTTAAAAGAATTCACTGAAGGTTTAGCTTTTTAGTGTGAGGGGCAAAGTTATCAGGTGATACATACTGGCTTGCTCCTGTGTTTTCATTACAGAAAAGAAAACGTTAAGGCAGACATGAAATGGTACCCTTACCTGTATCATTGACGGCCATGGCGGTATAAATTCACCTGTATGTCGCATGCAGGATGAGAGGCGTTTGTCAAATGATTTAAACCCATTTAATGGGAATTTGATAGTTTGTAAAGATTATGGGGGACAATTAACCTGAATGCTACAGAAACACGAGGTGTGTACTAATTGTGTAAAATCGGTAACATTTTATGATCCTTTCTGTGCGAAAGTTTACCCCTGGACGCCGTTGAAAACGCCTGGATTTGTCAAAAAACTGCATAAAATGCCAAGAGGTAAAGTAGTCGGTTATTGAGTTGCGCGCATCAGACCAAATATGTCTAAGCTGTCTTAGTGTCGACAAGCTGATATTGTACTCATTTATTAGAAAAACGTGAATTTATATAAGACCTCAAGCAGTCGATCTGCGTTTGATGAACATAATGCACGAACCCAACATTTTCAGAAGGCGGTATTTGCGGGTACAATGTAGCAGTCGGTTTTCTATCCCTCAGTCCCTACAGTCACACTTATACTGTCGACCTCTCTCTCTCTCTCTCTCTCTCTCTCTCTCTCTCTCTCTCTCACACACACACACACACACACACACACACTCACACTCACACTCAGCTGTGTTTTCTCCCTATCTCTCTTTCGTCAATTGTATTCTGCGGTGTGTCACCAATATCTCTCCCAACATCTGTTTATGATACTTGTGGTAAATAACATCATCAGACATGTACATTTCTATGAACAGAGCATATCAGACAAACCCACGCTCATTCTATACCCCCTCTAGCCAAGGTATATGCACTCCTAGCTTAATAAACCAAACAGGAAACCGCAAAATTAATGTTCATAGCACCGAAGCATGCTATTAAGCCAAGGGCTCAGTCACGAATGCTACAAATTAATGTCATTTACAAATTGTTTTTTTTTTTTTTTTAGTTTTGTCGGCGAACCTGAAATTTGTGGACATCAAATTTGCACTTTTAGACCATTTCCTTTCAAACCAAAGCAAATGTTTCAACACTTAATAAACTAGAATGCCGCTCAGAGAGCACAGCACAATTTTCATGATTCTTAAATCCACTGGAGATGGTCTGATGCACATGGAACTAACAAACAAACAAACATGTCAACCTTGACAGAGATAACCATCAAAACAGATTGCCAATATTCATTCCGCGTGTACCAGTGCCGTTTTTACAACGATAACATTGTGCTATTGTAACAATTTATGAAAAAATCTGAATTCAACTTGGATATCATTATGACCATGACATACGCGCTGTTATTCGTTTTCAGCACGGCATGTTCAGCCCAGAGAAAATCATTAGTTCAGTCATCTCAAGCGAATGATATGAAGCCACAAGGTGTCATTAAACCAGTGCCTGTGTGCAAAACCCAGATTTTTTTAATTCGCTATCAACTCACCTGTGATTTCAGCTTGCATGTGCTGTTCCAGATGAAGAAGATGAGTGGAAGATGATGGCTGGCCGCGTGAACGCTGAAATTTAACCCCTTGTTACAACGGACTTGCGATTACTTGGAGAACGAATTAATTAATGCCAATTCTCGCTTCATTCAAAGTTAAGCTTTCGCCAATAGTTGACAGTCAACTTTGCGCGCCATTAAGGAGCTGTATATTTTGCAGCCTTTAACTTTTTTAGATATTAACATATGCAACAAAGGCTTTATGGTGACCCACAGGCCTGTCTTTGAGATCGTGTCCACGAGGTTGCACGTGTCCAAAACACCAGATACAAACCGCATTTGACTGCTAGCAACAGGTTGCGCCTCTTCAGATTCAACGTGGTTAATTTTGCAAACTAGCCTGCCCTGCCGGGAAAAGATAGCGAACACAAACAAAAGTTGCTGCTTTAAAAAAAAATTCCCGAATTTTATTTACCCAACTGTATTTGACAATATTAATATAAAAAAATATTCCAGACTAGTGTCCTGTACGCACAAAAGTACCTGGTAAAATGGCCAACACATTAGCAATCGTCAGAAAACCTTAATCATATCTTTAAAATATTATGCACAAACCAAAGTAACTGACTTAATAAATAAATAAATTAATTAATTAATAGTGGGGAAATTATATTTACTGTTGTACTGGGATATATATATATATATAGGTTCATGAATTTTCATTTCATCGTTAAATTAATGGATACTTCACACTGGACGAATTTTAACAAAAAACAAAGACCCTATTTTGTTATCTGGGGTAAAACTCACTGATACTAACCGATAACCAGCTAGCCGCCTTGTCCATTCCAACAGAACACACCTGGTACACACTGCACAATATCTAAAACGTAAATTACACGGATCAAACTGTTTTTATTTCAACCAAACGCTCTTGACAGACGTTGTCTTACCATTGATGTTTTACAAGGTCACATGAAGGCATGTAAACAAGGGGTGTGTGGGGGCTCGACATAAATTGTCTTTATGTCCAGAAAAGACCCGCTCTGATCGAATTTTACTTTTTAAGCCCTACACAATATCTCACGTAGGGCTTACTGAGATGGTAAAATGTCCCTTTTTTCAGAAAAGAAAAAAATTGCCGCCAACAGACCAGAGACAAACGTACCCCATTTTCAACAAACCCCTCCTTTAACCTGGCAATAAATATCCATTTTGATATTCACGACAATCCACTTTACATAAACGTAAATCTGCTACTAGTACTGTAATATATGCTACATGAATCACTATAGCATTAAAAAAAAGAAAAACGCATGCTACACAGATATACTGGTACAATGCATGGCGAGAGTCGTTGGACATGTAAATGCTGTCGCTTATTTCAACCAAGTAGTACATGCGCACCTGAAATTGTATAAAGTTAAAGATACCCTCCATTATTTCGAAAAACCCCTACATATCATTCCTGCACCATGCAAAGCTTCTCATACAACGCATTTCTTTAGGCCATCGAACCCAAGTGCTAGAACCCGTCAAACAAGGATTCATTAGTAAGGAAATTTTCCATTTTCTTAAGAAAAATATTTTAGCGGGTAATTCGCGTGGAAAGTGCATTTAACAGTGAAGAGTAATCAATTACAGTGAAGAGTAATCAATTACATTTGTTCACACTATTAAATGAACTCGGGTGTCATTATCGACCTATAAATACGACAACTAGAACATCAAACAGATCAAAAACACTTCCAACTATTATTGTTATAGTCACCAACCGTTAAAAGTGCGTTTTCTGATAATGTCTAGAAAACATAACGGTAAAAGGCAATGAAGGAAATCGTAGCCATGAATAAATACTTTGAGCCCAAACCCGCACCATTGCACTGCATCCCCCGCCCTTTCAAATATTCTCCCTCACACAGAAAGATGGCATCACCCCGTCGTGAAAAATATTTTCTATCAATACTATTTCCGTTAATTATATTTCTTAGATAAGACCTCTCGTACCGTCCACCATATACAAGTCCTGCCTTGTCAAGAGCTGTGAGTGGAATTGATATAGAAGGACAATCTTCGGTAGTGTAGTTTGAAATGACGATGGGGTCAAGGTCGCCGTAACTGGAGATGATCATGTGAGCTAGACTGGAATCGAGGGATTCCGTTCTCTTCTCATAAAACTGCCTTCTTAGTTTTTCTGTTGCGTTGACCAGCATCGCTCTGCTCTCCTCTAGAGACGCAACTTCGTTTTCGTTTACTACGTAGAAATTGGATCGGACGTCGAAAAAAGGGGTTTCGTTTTCGACATCGATGTACACGAAGCTGTTTGTCTGATATTGTATGTTCAATTTGTACGGCGTGGTGGAATGTAAAAAAACTCTGTTGACAGTACTGTAGAATTCCTTCAGGTAGGAGAACCCCCTGTCTCTGATGGTACCTATGAAGGCACTTTCGGTGGTCTGGTAATCGTCTCGCAAATTGTTCCTTCCATACATTGTCAATGAATACACGATAGTTGTATAGTATGGGATGTTCTTGATATGTGCCACGTTCTTTACACACTGGTGACGTGTGGCCACGTGGTACATGGGGCATTCCAGAGGCAAGCACGTGTCCTGAAATGAATAATACGGTATACAAAATAAATAAACAATTGTTTATCAATTGGTTCTGAATGCGTACACTAATGCGTAAAAGTTCGGGTACGGGCAGATTATCATGAAATTGACAGTACCATGTCTTTGTCGTACACGTGGTCTTCCGCGCAGTCGTGTTTGAGCTCGTCCAGCAGGAAGGTCACTCTGTCCATGTCGAAATTCATCACCATTTTGAGGGAAATTGGGTCAAAATCCACGCCACCATTAGCTAAAAAAGAACGATTGTTGCTGAAGAAAATTCATCACATTCGCTTGCAATGTAAAACACTTTCTGTACAAGAAAAACCAAAATATGATTTAAGAAGGCCTGTTTTCTCTTAGGTCAATATGATCAATACCTTAACGCAATTTTTAACAATTGAACATTTCAACATTCAATAAAATCATGTTACAGTGTAGGAGAATTGAAGTTTACCATTAGTATTGTCTCAAATGCCAAAGAAAAATATACTCAAATGGACACATTATTTTTCATAAACTAAGGTAGTGAAAGTCAGTATCTAGGTCCTCAGGGAATAAAAAAACTCCAGTTCTTTTTCATAAGTAAAAATATAGAAAAGATTTGTTACTAATAAAGACCACTACAGATAAGAAAACATAATTATGCACAATTTCTTGAAGAGAGAAAAAGAAAAGAAATTATAGAAACATGGAAACTATGTTACTAACCAGGAAAGCCACCGCGTTGGTGACAGTCTGCCCAGTATTCAGCAAATTCAGTTCTATTTATCAGCGTATAGTAGTTGCGAATCTTCACTCGTTCCATGGGATTGCGAAAATATTGAGCTACGTATTCTGACGACGCCCGACAAAGGTGGCAAGACTCGGGNAAAAAAAAAAAAAAAAAAAAAAAAACTCCCGTTCTTTTTCATAAGTAAAAATATAGAAAAGATTAGTTACTAAAGACCACTACAGATAAGAAAACATAAATATGCACAATTTCTTGAAGAGAGAAAAAGAAAAGAAATTATAGAAACGTGGAAACTATGTTACTAACCAGGAAAGCCACCACGTTGGTGACAGTCTGCCCAGTATTCAGCAAATTCAGTTCTGTTTATCAGCGTATAGTAGTTGCGAATCTTCACTCGTTCCATGGGGTTGCGAAAATATTGAGCTACGTATTCAGACGACGCCCGACAAAGGTGGCAAGACTCGGGCGGCTCCCGCAAGTGTATCTCCACTTGCTCAGGTATATTGTACACAAAGTCTCTAAAGTTCTTCAATGGACAGACGCCATCCAACCGCGAGAAACTTTCATATTTCGTTGTTTTGTTACATTCAAGATTCGGTGTGCACTCCCGGACCCGGAAATGCCGATCTACATCGATGTAACAAGCCTTGCTTTGGAAGAGCTCGCCGAGGGTTTTGCCGTTTGCATTCGGGTGTGCTCCCATGACACAGTCCACAGTAAGACGCAGGGGGCTGACAGCTGACACGTTGACACTGTGACACATGGCGCAATACGCGTTCCTGAAGACGATGCCTGTTTCGGTGTGAACCATGGGCCGCGTAATTTGGTCATCAATGGCGTACGCAGACGCGTTGGTGCACAGCTCATAAACGACCGGATCTCGTTGTAGCCAACCGTCGGGACACGTATCCACTGCCCAAACATAGTCCTTTAGGGCATAAACGTCCCCCAGGCTTCTGCAGTAAAGGTGCTCCAGCACAGTGGCGGGTAGGATGGGAGACAGCGTCTGGTGGCTGGCCTGGCACCCAGCGTCCTCGGGGTAGCAGCAGTCATTCAGGTCACGGCAAAGATCGTCACAAAAGCAGGTGCTTGCCAGACTCCGAATGACGCAAACAAACTCGTGGTTGACGGCCGGCCTGCTGGACTCAGGGTCCATGTGGATTCTGAACATCGGAGTGTAACGCACGTCTGTTTTCCTTTTCTTTCTTCTGGCCACATGGCCTGCCGTCTGGAGTATTTGCTGAAGAAGAATACGATTTTTTTTTTCTTTTTTTATGGTCTACTTTGCCTCTAGTCGGAAATAGTGTAACTGACGTCACGAGATGACCACGTTGATGTTTTGAGTGTTTAGACAAAACTTTTTAAAATGCTTATTATGTTAGTACTTTTTTATCTGGTCCTTTCGTGACGTCATATTGACTATTGCCGGTGCACATACTGGCATATATTTTGTACGCACCGCAAGGTTACTCCCTATAAGGGGTCCTTTTTCTAGCTTATATGAAAAGTCCGTCATATAATTATGTAACTGCTAGATCTGGAAGAGCCATTGGTAGAGAATACTGTTATACTTTTTAACACGCCATATTATTGACTGCAATGCCATGGAAACACGAGTTCAACATCATCGAATTATACGAAGTATTCTACGAAAAAATAATTTATTGCAGACCAAGAGAAATGGAGATTTTTTTTAATTTCTCAGCACCCATTAATAAACTTTTGCAATAAAGATTACCTTGTTCATTCCGGGCGTTTTTCCTGGAAAATCTGGTGACAGAAGGCTAGAATTTGCAGTAGCCGTGGCCACGGGTCTCGGTTGCCTTTTCAGGCCCACTACTAGCGCTGGAGACCGCCCGGGAGCCTTTCCA